AGTTGTGTTTATATTGCATACCAATTTTTTTTTAAGTCATATGGCCTTGGAATATTAGTGTTTTACCACTTGTCTATCACCCCCACTTCCTTTTACGTGACATGCCATTCTACCTGACATCGTCCAGCTACACTACACATATTTTACAAGTTCTAGCTTGTAGAAACTTGTTTTTATTTATAGACACACTCCTGACTGACAAACACTATTAGAAAATATAAAATACTACCAACTAAACATACCTATATAGGTAATTTTTAACGGTTTAAATAAGTGGGTCATATTGACCCGAGCGTACCATAGGTAACAATTTAATTTTGATAAAAAAAATGAGCAAGTTGATTTTTTATCTTTTATGCATTTGAAAGACCTCATATTAAGTAATAAAGTCACGAAACACCAAAACGTTACGCCGCGTAATAATTTGTAAAATAAGAAATAATTTTTTTTTTTGGGTCAAATAGACCCGAACAGGACAGCAGGGTTAACAAGTGTTGGTAAAGTGCGTCAGAGGTACAAGGTATATTGGCTAGATTAAATTAAATTTTTCAGTCACACTGTCTTTTCGTCGAAGAGCAGCATTTTGTATTGTTATGTAAAAATCTACTTTAGGTTTTTGCACTAACTTAATATTGTTGATGTTATTACAAAAAATACAAACTAAATTTTCTTCGGTAAGTTTTCATTTAAGAAGAGGTACGGAAAAAGACATTTTAAATCCATTCACAATTTTTTTAATAACACATTAATAATATAATACCCTTTTAATGGGCATTAAACAATAGTCTTCCTAATGATCGTTTAGGTAATAACAAATCAAGTATGAGCGCGCGATTGTAAAACAGGTAAAAACTTGCATTTTTGCGATAGTATATTGTTTTTAAACACCGCGCAATTTAAAATTAAGTTTACTAATATTAATATTTACTGCATTGTATTATTTCAATAATAATTTAAAAATATTATTTACAATTGATATACATAAATATATACTCAATAAATAATAATTATATTGTTCAAATTTGGAAGAAAAAAAACTATATACGGTTATTACATTGCGATGATTGATTTATTTAATTAGCCCAATGACAATAATTAATACCTACATAAATAAATTATGGAAAAAACTATGTTAATAAACTTCAAAGATTTGTTAGGGTTTTTTTTGCGTAAGTGTATATGTAAACTATGCATAAGTACGATAGAAGCGCACTCTAGCGCGCCGCCACGCGGCGGCTGAAAAATCGAGTGTACGCGCATATTTAACAATTAAAAAACAACGGTCTAAATTAAAATAAGTCCCGATTACTCTTCACAATCTTGAAGTTGAATGTTTAAATTTCAATTTAGACACTTGGTAACCTCAAAAATAATAATTTCCATGTGTTTTCAAGCCTCAAAAATGCGTATTTTCGCGTTTTCAGACTTTAAATCGCTTATAACTCGAAAACTATCAACTTTAGAGAAAAATGACAAGAAAACTTTTTTGTTTAAAATGACCCAAAAAACCAAAAAAAAAAATATTTTCCAAATTAAAAAAAGATATTTTTGGAATTTGTTTAAAAAAAATTGTTTAAACAATTTCTGCCCAAAAATTTTGCCCGGTACTCTTCAGATTTGTTGAAAGGGGACATTTTTGAACCGGAATCCGCGAAGAAACCGAATCAGAAACATTTTCCCAACGGTAGCGGCCTCACAGCCTGGACTAAGAGGCTTTTATGAATTTTGGTCTCCTTTCCATAACGATTAGACTCACTCTTTTGTCTTTTTGCTCGATGAATAACGATCAGTAATAGTATTTGTGACATAAGAGTTGTGTTTATATTGCATACCAATTTTTTTTTAAGTCATATACATCAATCTCCCTCAATTTGGGAGTATGGATAAAGTATTTATCCATAAATTCTTAGAATAATAAAGTTTTTTTAAAAAGTAGAATTCATTCCTCAGAATAAATTAATTTGAAAGTAAAATTAACATCAGGATATTTTGTACAGAATTAAAATTTGTTTTTCTTTAAGAAGTAATAATCAGAGACAATTTGACATTAAAATAAATACATTTGGTTCAAAAAGGAGATAACAAAATAAAGATTCTTTTTCTTGGCAATTAGATAAAGAAGTTTGTACATGATAAAAGTTAGAAGAACATTTGATCTTTTTTATATGTTTTATGGTATAATAAATAAACAGTATTTAAAAGTTTATAATTTTGGTTTACTTTGTTTATTTTCTTTGTTTATCCTGGATAAAGCAAGCAACTGAGAAATACTGGAAGCCACAAAATAATGGTAATCGATATGATAAAAGAGCCCTGAGAATTTTGAATTATTGCATAAATTTATTTATTTTTGATTTGCGTTATAATTAATAATTAATTAAGTTAATTAATAAAAGTCACCTTAATCATATCACAAGCAAGAAAAGAAGATCATAATAATATATTATTAGTGTAGACATTTTTATTTTATTTATGTACATAAAGTACCTCAACAACTGTGTCTATTGGTACATTCTGTATTATTTACCTTTTAATATTTTTCTTTAATTGCGCCTTTTTATGATTCTTTTATAAATCTCATTATAAAATTTTTTAACTCTCTTCTGCTCTGATATAAAAACCTCAAATGAAAACTAAATAAAGTATTACAAAAGAAAAGATTAGTCATTTTGAATAATTGTTCAGTTAAACAAGTTGAAAGGGGCCTGTCCTGAACCATTGCTCGCATCTCATTGGCGATACTCTCTTGGATTTGACAGATGTTCTCAGAGCCCATTGTGACCAATCTTGTGGCAGACGTCTCGTTTTGTTTCTTTCAAGTAGAACTACATAAAATGGCATTCTTATTGTGGAAGAAGTAATTTTTAATAGAAGCATTTCTGTACTATGTTTTTAACTGCAATAATCAGTAAATAACAATAAAAGAAGTAAAAAATCCCAAGAATGAACATCATTTCGTGAGTTATCTACAAACATTGTCGGTCCAATTTTGCAACATCCCTTTTTAGCTTTCAAATATTTTTAATTGACATTTTCAAACTTGACATTTTTTATGTGACACAAAAATAACACAATAAACATCTTGTTTCCTATTAATCACAGGTTTTTTTTCTGTTTGAAAGTGTGTTTCTTCACCAGCTATTCATTGAGCCTACCTGCATGCATGAAACATAAAAATGTCAGTTATTATAAATGTTCATAAGCTAAAAAGTCTGTTTAAGTAAATGTTTATAAACTAAAACATTTTTTTAATGGCAAATTTAATAAAAAATGTTTTCTTAATACCTAAATAGGTACGTTAAAAATTAACCCTCATAGAATCGATTGTGCTTTACAGAATGCCTATAGAGCAGGGGTTCTCAAAATTTTTGTACCACGGCCCCCACCTATTTCAAAAAATTGTATAAGCATAGGAACAAAAACAAAAACAAAACATTTATATTGCCATAAGGTACAATATTATCAGTTTTTATAAAATATAAAAAGTATTATTGTTATTATGACATAGTAATAAGGGCTGGGGTCACGAAGACCCATAAGCCCATTTACAAGAAAAATGAAATTGTACATTACAAAAGACTATCACGAGGAGATGACAGCTGATGTTTTCGAAGAGTGTTTTGAGCAGATGATTGAACACATACCACCAAATTCAATTATAGTATTAGATAATGCACCTTATCATTCACGACTAGTAAAAAGACTTCCAACGAGTGCGTGGAAGAAACAGGATATTCTTGACTGTCTGCGGAATAAGTATCTGCCTTACGAAGATGGAATGGTAAAAGCAGAACTTTTAAAAATTGCCCGGCAACACAAATCAAGTTTAAGAAATACGTAGTTGACAAAATGACGGAAAGGCGAAACATCACAGTCCTTAGACTTCCACCCTACCACTGCCAAATACATCCAATTGAACTCATTTGGGCACAAACGAAAAGTTATGTAGCTAGAAAAAATACGTCATATAAAATACAAGCGTGAATTTTTATACGAGTCTTTACAACATATTACAAAACAAAACCGCAAAGATGCAGTCAGACATGTTTTATTAAAACAAAAAGACAAATTAAAAAATATATTTACTTAGTTCAAATAAATGTTTCAATCATATACTCCACGACACTGGTCGGTCATCTGTAACCAAAATATCTTCATAATCGGATTATAAGGTTGACCGCTGTATTCTAGTCCTGCAGATACAAGGTGGGTTAGTCGAAAACATCTTAAACCGTCAGTTTCAGGTTGGTTTTTACTATTATATCGTATTACCTATCCTCTCTGTATTTCAGTTCTCTAATTAGGATTAAACTTGTAGTGACTTATCGACAAATTGTGAACCGAGTATAATAAATTTAAAAAGTTTGTTTTTATAATCAGAATTCTTTGTATAAAAACATATGAACAAAGATTCCAATATTTCAAAATTTGCATAGGAAGTGTAATTAATTTACGAATATCCAAATTTCTTGTGTATGTTGTTTTATCAATGTTATAAATAAACCGATAAATATTTAGTAAACTAAATTATTTATGTGGTACAATTTTCATTGGGACAGTTAACCCCATGGAATTTATTTGATAAATTTTCATATTATTTCTTATGGTAATAAAAGATAGTTGTATTTGTTTATTTATGGTATTTCTATTTATTTCTTTTTCCTATTTTATCCCGAAAAGGAACAATTAAGAGGTACTGGAATACACGAGAAAATATAAGTATAACCTAAGCTGATTTATTTTTTTATAAAAGGGCACCCTAAGATTGTTTTTTTATGTATGATTTGCGACACTTAGATAATTAATCAAATAATTAATTAAAGTATTAAAAAAAGATAGTAAAAAAGTAAGAAAAAGCAGATCATAGTAATACTTTTCATTGTAACGCTTGTTTATTCAATAGGAAATAATAAAAATTTTTTAAGCCAAATTATTGAAACATGCTTTTGACTTTAAATTTGAATTGAATTATAAAAGATAAAAACTAAATAAACACTTACGTTTGCCATTGTTTCAGGATCAACGTCTGGAATAGGTTCTGACCAATTAACATACAATTCTCGATTCCAAAGGATGAGGTTATGCGGCGTCAACTGCCTTCTAGCCAGGCTAGCTTGTTTATGTGTCGCAAACTCAATAAACGCGAATCCTCGATTTTTCTTTGGATCAAAATTCTCAGGATACATAATTACGTCCACAACACCATCAATTGCTGACTTAATAGCTTCGAATAGTTCAGCCTTAGTCTTGTCCGTCGGTATATTGCCTACAAACAGCTTGCAATTGTCGACAGATTTAGAAACGATAATTTTCAAACCTGATCTTAGTGTCCTGCCGTTTAAGATCTTTATTGCGTTTTCAGCGTCTTCAGATTTAAAGTAAGATGCAAAAGCAAATCCTCGAGTTTTATTCATGAAGTCTAGCATCAATCGAAACTGGCACAAATTGCCAGCTGATTCAAACAGTGGAATCAATTCGTCTTCATAAACAGTTTTTGCGAGATTACCGATGAACACCTCACAGTTTCGGGGACAAGCCCTGTTCATATAATCCAAGTGGGTATAGATTCTTTGCCCATTCTGACGAAGGATTGTATACTCTGGCCGATATTTTAAAATTTTTTGAATCTTTAGATTTATTTCCTGCTCACTTTTAAAGCGGTCAAATTTAACAGAAAAGACCATTGTAAAACCTGTTTTATTCAACAATAGATTAAACTTCTTTGTATGATTTGGCTTCTCGCTTCTTTATTAACTGGATACTGAAAATTGCGTTGTTGTATCACCTGCTGCGTCCAAGGATAGACTAAAAACTAAACTTTTATGACTTGGTTTCTCACCTTTTTATAGAGTAAACTGTATAGTGATTGGCCACTACCAACTATTGGCACCTTGTAGGATTTTTACATTATTTTAAGATTATAGTTAAATGTACTGACCACTGATACTATTTTATGACAGTGGCAACCGTGTACAGATAGTATCTAACTTCATTTCATTGTACTAGCTAACCAAATGTCCACACTCCGGCTGCAGATAGAAAATATGATGGTGAAGTCGAGAAGTTATATGATCAGATCCAAGACATATTACAGAAACTTAATAAACACGAAATTTTATACATTATAGGCGACTTCAATGCAAAAATTGGAGAAGGTCGGCGAGGTCAGACTGTAGGTCCTTATGGTTTAGGACCACCTAACGATCGAGGACAGAGATTGTATGAATTCTGTAAAGAAAACGATATGATCATTGCAAACACCTGGTATAAAATACCCAAGCGACAACTATACACTCGGAAAGCCCAATTTGATGTTGGCAATAACCTTGAATCTTCAAGAAATCAAATAGACTATATACATACTTGTAAATGAGCTATTCCGAAATACCGTCAAAAAAGTCACTATATTTTCTGGGGCAGATATTGGATCTGATCATCAACCACTTGTAACAGATATTAAACTAAGGTTACAACGAATTTAGCGATAAAAACCAAAAACCAATGTACTTAACTTTGACGATATAAACATAAAACATAACATTAAAAAAGAATTTAACAATAGAATAAAAAACATCGGAGAAGAAAAATAAATGGATGATAGACGACATCTTGAAATTAATGGAACAACGTCGACTGATAAAATCTAATGAAACAGAATCTAGACACCTGCAGAGAAGAATAATAAAGGAAATCAAATTAGCCAAAGAAAAATGGATGAGAGAAAGATGCGACGAAATGTAGGATGTAATATCTAAACACGACTTATTTAATGTGCACAAAAAACTAAAAGAAATGAGTAACATATTTAAAAAACGAGTTCCCTCTGTACTCGTTGACAATAATAACAAAATTATTGTAAATGAGCACAAATTAAGAAAAGAATGATATTAGAGTTTAAAGATGACAGGAATAATATTGCCGAATTCTACCAAAACTATACTAACGGCCCAGTTAAGAAATGCGAAGTAGAATACGCTATAAATAATGCTAAAATTAGAAAAGCTTGTGGTCCAGACGATACACCAACTGAGTTGCTGAAACTAATAGAGAATGATAACATCTTTTGTGTAAGTAGTAAGACTTTTTAATTCAATATACAGTAGACTCTTGATTATCCGAGCCTTGGTTATCCGAGCCCCTCGCGCGCAAAATAGCAAGCAATTTGATTGAACCCAGCCTATGAGAGATGTTCACCCAGGTAGTACGATCGGGTGTACCAATTCATTGGAGCAAGGTGTTTTAATTCGAGTTTAAAAACAGGAATCACCCCACCGTGCTCCAATGCTCTAGACCATCCCTTTCCCCCCTATAGCAATATGATTCGCTATAGAGGCACAACAATCAGCCAAGTGCTCTTCATGTGGAGGTCCTGGGTAATAGAACCCCAACATGGTTTCCTAACCGTATGTGAAAACTCAGGACAGCGCATCTCCGCTTTATTCCTGTTTATCTTAATGTAGCTTATCCGCGATCGCGCGCAAAATTTTGCCTGGGGTTTACTTTTATAGCCGTACTTGTTGAATCACAATATCTAGTAATAAAAAAAGGGTCGATGGTCACAAGTTATATCGGCAGCTGTTATATGGGCAATCCATTGAAAATTGTGGATTATTGAAAAGAAGTGTTTAGGTCAAGCTGATGTCGAGTTGGTATTCTCAGAAATTGGTCACCAGGCTTATTTCCAGAAATTTCTGTGTCGTGTATTGTCTACAACTTTCTGTTACTTTCTATGTTAATTAGTGTGAATTGAACTACCGATTTGTTTGTTGTCGTTCAGATCGTCAAATTATTTGTTTGCTGCCGTTCAGATCGTTAAATTAAGTCAAATTACTGTACGGTGAAATTTTTGCTTTTATGTACTGTTTTGTGTATTTATTCGAGTTTATAAGTTTAAGTTTCATAATTAATTTTTCATAAGTTGATTTTTGTGAGTGTAAGAGAGCATCTTTCTGTGCAATATGAGTGAAAAGCGGAAGAGAGTAGTTGTATCTTTAGAAACAAAAGTGAATGCAATTAAGAGGTTGGACAAGGGTGAATCAATAAAGAAGGTTGCTACAGATTTAGGTGTCGGAGAAGTAACTGTTGGAGATTGGAAGCGTAAGCGGAATAATAAAGTCGAACAGTGGGTTAACAGAAGTGTGAGTGGTGGTAGTGGATTTGCCCGGAAGACTATGAAGAAAGGGGACTATGAACAAACTTCTGAGGCATTGTTCTTGTGGTTTTCACAAATGAGAGGATTGGGCAGTCCGATAAGTGGTCCAATACTCCAAGCAAAAGCTATCGAATTCCAGAAGAAGTTTATGGATGGAGGTGAAAACTTTTGTACTAGTGAAGGATGGATTGACTTATGGAAAAAGAAATATGGCATCCGACAATTGCATATTTGTGGCGAAAAACTTTCTGCTGACTCAACTGAAATTGGAACATTTTATTTAAAATTACAAATCATTATCCTTAAAGATGGACTAACTTCAGACCAAATATTTAACTGTGATGAGACAGGCCTTAACTTTAAAATGCTTCCATCGAAAACACTAGCTGCTAAAAATGAAGGAACTGCACCAGGTTACAAAAAAAGCAAAGAGAGAGTCACAATCATGATTTGCAACAAAGCTTCTGGTTCATTAAGATTAAAACCTATTTTAATCGGAAAATCCAGTAATCCAAGAGCATTCAAAAACGTCCAAATAAATTGCTTACCTACAATCTATAGCAACCAACGCAATGCATGGATGGACTGTAACACTTTTAAGGACTGGTTTTTTAATGACTTTGTGCCAGTCATTGATGCCTACATAATAAACAAAAATCTGCCTCGAAAAGCTTTGTTGTTGTTGGACAACGCACGATCCCACCCAGATGCGAGTGAATTGATTAGTGGTGACATACGAGCTGTGTTCCTTCCACCCAATGTGACGTTTCTCATCCAACCCCTAGACCAAGGCGTTATAGAAGTAATGAAGAGGAATTATCGGCGGAAGCTTCTTCAGGTACTGCTAACTAAGCTGGATGAAGGGCTGACTGTAATTGAGACATTAAAGAAAATCACGGTTAAAGATGTTTGCTATTGGATTGCATCTGCTTGGGACGATGTAAAAGTGTCCACTATTCAGAAGTCGTGGACAAAATTATTTAAGATAAACAACAAAACACAAGACGTTCAAAATGAAACTGATGACTGTGAAGTTGATTATATAACCAACCTAGCCAATCAACTACCAGTAGAACAACCAATCGGAAACCAAGACATCATCGATTGGATGAATCTAGATGAAGAAATGGAACTGACAGATGATGCAATTGCCGATCTAGTTCTAAACGTCACTCATGAAGAAGATGAAGAAGATACAGATGAGATAACTCAAAAATTTCTCATTCCGATGGATTGAAGTCCCTTGAAGCAGCCCTCGCATACATCGAGCAACAAGAAGAATCGACACCATTAGACATGCTCAATTTTCAACGTTGGCGCAACATCGCCGCCTCAAAAAGAGGAATGAAGTTAAAACAAAAATCAAAGACTTTTTTAAACAATAACATTTATAAGGTAAATTGTTTTATCTTTTATACTACTTTTATATTAGTTTTTAATTATTAAAATAAATACATTAATCATTATTTGCGTAGGTACACATTTTTCTATCAGTACACCAATATAACCAATCTATGTTAACCGAGTTTTTTCGGTATCCGAGGTAGTCCCGGTCCCAATTACCTCGGATAATCGAGAGTCTACTGTATAAGTAACACCGGAGTGATTCCCACAGATTGGCTTAAATCCATCTTTGTAGCAATACCTAAAAAACAAATGCTCAGAATATCGATTAATTAGCCTAATGAGCCACATTCTCAAAATGTTCCTAAGAAAACTTCACAACAGAATTAGACGCAAATGCGAAGAAGATCTTGAAGGTAACCAATTTGGTTTTAGAAATGCTGTGGGAAGCAGGGAGCCATTTTTAGCCCTTAACAGCCTATTACAAAAATGTCGTGACCAAAGAAAAGATGTATTTGCATGTTTTGTGAACTTCTAAATGGCATTCGATAAAGTACAGCATGTAAAATTAATGCAAATACTGAAAAATATCGGAATAGATGACAAGGATATTCATGTCATTAAAAATTTGTATTGGAATCAAACTGCTATCGTAAAACTTGAAGAATTGAATTCTGCTTGATCGTATTCACGAGGTAGGAGAAGAAATGGGCAATAAAATAAACTCAAACAAAACCAAATTTTTAGTGTTTAGTCGTGATCCACATCCCGATGCAAAGCTTCAATTAAACGGAGTCCAGGTTGAAAAAGTTAACAAAATGACATATTTAGGAACTGTGATAACGGACCAACTAGATTTAGACATAGAAAGAAAACGTAGAATAGCAATTACTAAAACTACTTTTATGAAAATGAAGTCATTTCTTTGCAATCAGCATCTCAGTTTAGAACTAAGGCAAAGAATGATTAAGTGCTATGTTTGGTCCTTACTTTTGTATAGTGCAGAAGAGTGGATGCTAAAAGTATCGATCATGAACAAAATTAAAGCATTGAAAATGTGGGTTCGTAGACAAATGCTAAAGATACCTACCTTGGACAGCAAGAAAAACTAATGACAGAGAACTGCTAAAGACTGTTAAACATCGAAAAATGTCTTATCTGGGACATATAGTAAGGGGAAGTCGATAT